CCCCCCCCCCCCCCCCATGCAGAATACACTGATTGGCGTGTCGCTCCAGATGGGGATTCAACTGTTCAAGAAGATGAAGATTCCACTTCCGGTCTGCCAACACCCAGTGATTTGGCATCCATGCCTCCCGTGGTCCGTGTCATCTATCTACTCATCTGTTTCCTTCGTGATCCAACCTCGTCTATCACACGAGCAGAGTCCACAGATCAGCAGCCCGATACAAGTACACAACCCCTAACCGAGACCCGAAATGCTAACAGTGAATTGACAAGCGAGGTGTACAACGGTCGTGTCTCACGAGATCCCATTGTGCTTCAATGCATTATTGAGTGTTTGGTATACTTGTGCCATATTGGTGATTGTCTTCAACAGTTGTTGAATAAAACACAGAAGACTCTTCTCGGAAGCAACACAGGTCCAGCCACATCAACCGGAAATCCGAATGTGACCGGCAGCTCGAACACCGGTATGGCTGGCACTGCAGGGGCACTGCCGCAAAGTGGGGCAATGACTGCAACTGCTGGTAAGGTGAACTTGGTCTCAAAAACATCCAGTTCTGGTGGGGCACAGAACCCCGGGGGAACCACTTGTGGAGCATGTACTGCCACACCACAAGCACAATACAATTTTGTGCACTATCTAGTTCATTGTCATCTAATTCCCAGGTGAGTGACAATCTTGCATCACATGTATTGTCTTTTTTATTTATTGATCGACCTGAATATGAGTGTGTACTAGATTTTGGGAAACCAGTATGACATGTTGAATGGATTAACATGACTTGTCTTCAAAATGAGTGTTTCAAACAATAAGCGTTATTGAGGACTCTCGCAGAACCTTATCGTTGTAAGTAAGGCTTCTTGTCAAATAGGGTTTTATGTAACCTGTGTCCCGAAAGTTCCGAAAGCATAGAGGAACAGTATCAATTCGGATGTGTGACAGACATTCCGAATGATCAGAGAGTAGAGAACGAGTTCGGTTTGAAAGAAACTTATTAGAAAAAGAATTTGAAGATTAGATGTGAGTCTGACTATGACCATTGGAAACCAAATGCATCATAGATCATATAGCAGGGCTTTTGGAAGGACCTGATAACAGCACAGAGGAAAATTACAACTTATACTAATTGGTGACCATTTTTCATATTTTACTCTCTCAGCGATCCGAGGTTCAGTGGTTAGAATCTCACTACCACCGTCCATTTGTTTTTATTTTCCCTGACAGTCTTTGATTGGTCTCAGTCCCCTTCCTGAAAACTGGTTTTATCAGTGTATGCTAATCACCTGACATAAAAGTAAACGTTTATTATTTTTTTACTCCTGTTAGCGCACAGTTCTCAGTTCATTCAGTTAATCATGTGCGTGAATAAATCAATGAATACGCACTGCTGATGATGTCTAACGAGGTTAAATATGGGTCTCAGTACTTCTCGAGTGTTTAGCTGAACGGACAAACTGGAGATTGAACTTGAAGACGGTGTCTGAAAGATGGCTATTTAATAACAATAATCATTATTTCACAGCACTACTCTCATAGATAAGTGTGACTAGTGCTGTGAATAGAATTCGTATTTGTCGTACACGTTCAATAGGGCTAAAATACTACTGACAAGCCTCTAGAATACCACTATGTCCTCCTTTATTAGCAGTGCATATTCAACGTATCCATTGGGATTCAAACCCGTGGGAACTGTAGACTGTGTTTATCAGCGGTAAATGACCCATTGGTTTTAAATCTTCAATAGGAATTCACATTTTGAAAACATACTGTTATTATTTTTTTGTCACCTCGATTTATTTATTTGTTCACCGCCGATTTTTTCATTCTTATTTCAACAAGCCTCTGGGGTTTGCTCAAATCCGAGTGGTCTCATTTGGCCAGTTGGGTGGTGCCTCTCCTTCTACATTGTCTCTCACTGCCCGGTGGATCGCAAGTGTTTTGGCGTCTGATTGAGACTGATTTTGGGCATTCCGATTGGCGTGTTCGATTTGATGCGATTGAGAAAACCACAGTCCTACTCCGTGAATTAGATCCCGTGGTATTGTCCGGTGGATTTAGCGGTGCCGCGGGAATGAAAATCAATAGTATTTTGTCCGGCGGGAGTATGGCGAGTGCAAGTGGAGTGAATCTTTTCGGACGACCGGCAACTGGAACCCATTCTCGAGCTCGGGGTGCAGTCGGTCGTATGGTTGCTGGCAAGAACGCTCCAGGATTGGCTCGAGCTCAGGCCTCGCACACGAACGGACACAATGGGTCGGGTAAGGCAGGAATGGGTGGTGCTAGTGCCGCTACTAATGATCATCCACTAATTCGAACCGCTCTGGCTCATGCGTTTTGCTGTTTGATTGGTTCGTTGGACGACTCCAATTCAATTATCGCACAAATTACGTCAACACAATTGGCTTCTTTGAACAGCACGGCATTGTTGGTATGTATATGAGTTGAACTAAACCCTGTCGTTTGTGCCACAATCTACACTCTAATCGATTAAAAAGTGTTTATGGTAAGGTATCGACTAATTATACTCGATAATTCCCATGCCTACTCATGGATGATGATATTCCTAATTTCCATTTCACTTACTACACATGTTTTCATCGTATTTGGTTTTGAGCTGTTATCTCCAGTGCACTGAGCTCTGATCTGTTGGTTGAAGCGTTTACATATCACCGTTTTTATTTTTGTATTGATGAAAACATCGAACGAACGGTAAACGGAAAAAAACATTCAATGACTGGTAGAATGGGATCAGAGTGCCATAATATGGAAACAGAAGCACCATAACTGCACAATATTAGCAATAATGTGGGGAGGGACCCCTTGAGATGAAAATCATTGTTACAAGTGAAAGTTTCGAATCTCCAGATTCTCGTCGATGGAATGTAAATCACCGTTTGGAAAGTGACCATTAATAATTATTGTCATGAACATCTTGGTGCAAAATTCATTTCACATCCACCTCTTTCTAACTGTCTTTTTTACTTTGGGATTATGATGGTGAAAATATTTTTGTTTTATGCTGCTATATCGCGTGTGAGTTAAGTCAGATCCATGTATATTTCGAACGGAACAGGGGTCCGAGTCTAGATCGAAGTTAAGGTATCATAGTTGCCAGTTCGCCCACTGGGGCAGCCCGGAGACGCAGTAGCATGAGCAGTACACAATGGAACTTATCCGTGATCTCATAAACATCATTCGGTCTTCGTTCGAGGTGACAACAGTAGCCTATGCACAACGGAGTGCTATCATCGGAGCAACAGATAGAGAGTATTTCGGTAGCCAGTGGCCGATCGAGCAGATCATGTACGCTTTGTAGGGTGTTCTACCAATCCGAATACCCATCAAGCCCGTGCTTAGCTTCGCTCAAATCGGACGACTGGATAAGAGGTAATGGCTTTATCTAGTAGCAGGCCAATTTCGAGTACATCACTTTGATGTGTATAAACTTCATTTGCCTTTATGTAGGGCGCTTGTTTCCAGACGAAAACCCACTAGTTCTATACCACGACCAGTGAGCGTTCACAACCGCTTATTCAGGGAACTGTCGCTCACCTATTTTGGCTAACCACTTGCTTGATCACTCATCCGCAACCTGAAGACAACCGGTAGTACTCGGTTGTACTATTATACTACACACATTGATCATCCGGCTAACAAAATTTTGTCGGGCACAGTTTCGTGTAAAGGTTGAGTCATACTAGTGCTTTACTTCCAAAGAGCCAATGCCAGGTCGAGGGGAGTTGTTTATTAAGAAGAACGAGAAGAGTATCGATAATATGGAGTACATCAGACCAAACGTCTCGTCTAGAACAGGTCAACCATAATTTCGAAAAGCTTGTAGGATACTTGATGGAGCAGTTCAACAGTAGATGTGCATTTTCTGTAGTTACAACCTTGAAAATAAAAATTCGCTAGATGAGGTATTGTTCAGTTTTGACTCCAAGAAAAACCAACGATCATATTCGTTTGTGCAGTCCAAACCTACTACTAACAAATGTGAGTAGCAACTCACAACACTGGTAATTATTTGCATCACTAAAAGACTATATTACTGTATATGGGCCGAGCTTTCTTGGTCCCATTTGAATCCCACACGAATCTGACAATCGCGTTCAACTTGTAACAGTGGTACGCTGTTAGTTCATTGGCCGTCACACGTCACTCATTTTAATAGGTTTGTCGCAATAGCGAAGTTCATTTGACGCAAACCGATCTTTCCATAAACAAATACAGTCGTAGTACTCGAAGTAATTACGAATTACGGGATACGAATCGCGGTCGCACAGAATCGCATTAGCAATCGTAAGCTAGAATCTCCCATCACCGAGACACAGTAAAAAGGCCACAGAAGTCTCGTTTCATTTATTGAAAGATATCGGTGGGATTAAATTTGCGAATAGAAATATCATAGGTCAAATGGACATCAATCAATCGCCGTTCTCGTTCTTCGAGTCGCACGAGTTCTGTTTGAAATGTTTGACTGTTGACTGATAGATACTGTTGGTACATGGCCTAATTTCCGGAAACTGGAATGCGTAGACGCTTGAGGGGAGTCATCTTGAGGGTCTGACTCATCACAAGAGTACTCCATGAACAAATGCTGGGGTTAACCTGGAAGATTTTTCGGGTAAGAGTCTAGACTATTCGAATCGCTCATGAATGCCGGACCCCAGACCGAATGAGCACTAGTTCATGAAAGACTCATCCCATGTTAAGTGATTTCCAGCATTTGATCGCGATTCTATTTAAGAGCAAATGTAATCATGCATGGGGCATGAGTAATCCTATCCGATTCACTTGATACAGTGGTCAGTGAAACTGCTACAAGTCTTCGCGTGCTCGTTCCGAGGGCATGCACAGCTGGAGTTGATATTTTTAATTTCGAATCGGGAGATGGAGCGAGAAAGTTGCTTGACACGTGGAACATCAATTTTTAACTGCCTAAAACGCTGAACATCAATATTGTTTTGTGAGCTGCCGCATAATTTAATTGTCTCTAATGTTGTTGTTATTGTTGTTGAACCAAAACTTATCATCTTCATTTGTGACGTCCANTCCAACCCCCCCCCCCCCTTACTGTTGGCCTTACCGGGTTGAGAAAAAATAGTGAAATGATTAAATCATCATGCAGGGAAACGAGAGCGGATAAGCGGCTGAGCTTTGTTAATTCAATCGGTGCTCGGAACTAAATTGAATGATTGTGCTCTGTAGTCATTTACATGTTAAAACGTATACTTAGGGTAAGTTTAACATTCTCCAGTACAGTGAAATCAAATTCTACTTGATCTCCATGTTTTCCTCCCTGACTTCGTGTAATTTAGTGCGGTATTCAATGCCTGGAATTCCAATTTGACTCAGTGATTGCCGATCGATGCCTGATTCTTCAGCGAATGCATCAGCTCAGTTGTATCCTACCAGACCGTCAGGTGTTCACGTGGGACTTCTTTGTCAATCGATTTGGACTACTGGCTCTACAGGCACAGATGAGTAACATGGGACAACCAGATATTGAATCTGGTAAGTGAATTCACAGACACGAAGCTTGTGTGGGAAATTTCCCATGTGATCAAATGTATTGCAAACGCACTCCGGGCTCCCGCAGCGCAGCGGAGTGAATAGAGATGCCCGACAGGATGTTCCTCGGCTGGTGTTCTCGTAGCTGGAGACAATACGAGGCCTTGCGGCCAACAAACGACGACGAGGAGGCGGGGCACGGGGTGGTAAGGAAACACTTGCAGACAGGTCCTCTGTGGATCGGGGTTAAAGGTAAACCTGCAAAGTAAAGCAAACAAAATGCCATGAAACAAAACGGTCCAATGAGCTACAAGCACTCACTATGAAATATTACTAGCGCGGTTGCCAAGCCTTACAAAAACAAAAAAAATCTTCAGTCTATATGCTTGCCACTTGGAGTACGAGCCCGTGTTAGTCCAATGGTCATGGTCACACAGATACGCTCACACACACGGATGTTTCATTTGTTTCCTTAATTAGCTTCCTGGTGGCCGCATTTACCATCAGACGTTACATAGTCGACCCATGATTTTTCATTCACTGTATTAGCTACGTATCTAGCAGAACTACTCAGGCTGCTCTGAACCGTATACGCTTTTTTCCAAACCGTGAGCGTTATCCTAAACACAGCAAGCAGCATGATACGCAAAATAGTTGAAACACTTACCAGTACATTCCAGATTTTCAGCTCACTCTTTATGAGGGCTTGATACACTTCATCATTGTCCTTGGTAGCGGTTGCTCTTTAGCATCACACCCATTCATTAATTTGGTGTGATTCTGTAGTGGACGGAATAGTCCACTTTCACTTTCATTTTTACAACCATTAACCATGCACTTTCGTGCGCCGGTTTTGGTTGCTGTCTTTTGGTACCCCGTTTAGATAAAAGAGCAGAATTAAGATTGAAATGTTGAAAGCAAATTCAAGCGGAAGATGCAGAATAGATACGAATCGAGGATCACAAATCGCAATCGCAACTGGAACGCGGAATCGTCCTGATAATCGTATGTCAGAATCTCTCGGAACCGAAATGCACAAGGAAGGTCACAGAAGTAGCGGTTAGCTTATTGGAGGAAATGACTGGGATTAAATAATATGTACCCAGAGACGTCATTGGTTCAATAGATCCTCGCCAGTCGCCTGTTTGTATTCTCTTCAACACAGCTTTTTTGAAGCGCACAGCTTCTGATCGGTCCGTGGTTTGTTGTCCAGACACCACAATGCTTAGCTTGGCGTTATCTTGGAAACTTGGATCATCACAGGTTCAAAAATCATTTGCAGTTGATGCAGTACTTTTGTTCTTATGCTGTGATGACCTTATAAATGTCAGCGTCTTTCAAGCTCCATTCCTACCTCTTCATGTCCATATTGCGTTGTTCACCTTTGCCAAATAAAGTCACTGATTTGAACGGATACCACCGGAACAGTCAACATTTTCAAAACCATTTTGAACGTGCCTGTTTTGCAATCTCCCGGAGTAGTGGACTCCGTTCGATCTGCCAAACTTCGAAAGCCCAGCTAAGACAAATGAGTTCACTCACGACGAGGCCCGCTACATTCGGATCCGGAACGAGTCAAGTACAAACGGCCAGCGTTGCTGCCGCCCCCACCGCCACCGTCGGTGCCACGACTGCAACAACGGAAACACCCTTAGCCGGAATTGGGCGAGGTTTAACTCTCCCCAAACACTCATCATTCGAGTCTGCCACAGGACAAGCTGGTAAGCTGCTGACCGTTTACACAAGAGAGCGGTTGGTAACTTTTGATCGCAAAGCCTATGGTTAATGTTCCACCCGTGGTTGACTACAACAAACTTATAGCTTGAACTTGAAACGTTTTCTACATAATGCCACGCGATCAGGCTATATTAATGTTCTAACTACGAATTACTTGTAAAAATGCGAAATAGAAAAACAGTTTCATAAGGAACAACCAGGTCAAATAAATAAATCAAACATTAATTGAAATAAGTTCAATGATGATTTGTCAGTGCACACCGACGTATCGTCATGACTAAACCTTTGCTACTTCAGGTGAATCCATCAATCGCTTTGGGCTTCATATCGCACATATTGAACCCGGTCTTTCACAATAGTAGGTCATCCAGAATATTATTATTGAACCAATCGCCTTCGTTTCTATCTTTTATAATAAATATACACCTAACTGGAAATGCCTGAAGATGAAGTTACGAAAACAAGCTTATTCGCTACATTTTTGTCTTCTGATATAATTGTGGGAGTCTCCCACATAAAGTAATTTCTTGATACATAGCAAAAGTAATTTGTGAATAAGTTGGTGGGGATAGGGTCCTCACTGAGACCATTGGTTATTGATCGATTCCAGTTGAAATATAGACGCATATGAGCGAATCCATTGGTTATCAGTTATGGTCGGCAAATCGATCAATCGTTGGACGATCGGGAAGGGGTCATTTTTGTCTGTGCTCAAATCTATACAATCGGTGATACCCCTTGGTCGTGTATAAATAAGCAATCTAGCACAGTAAAATGCGAATCCTGTGTTATAGTTATCTTACTATGCAGTGGACCCTTTTGTTACGCTACGATTTTACTCTTTTTCTTCCAGGAAATGCTGAAACGGAATCAGGTCTGCCGAGAACTCGATTTCATGGCTCTCGGAGATCCCGAATGTCCATGGCCTCTTTCAACGGACTATTTCCGCGTAAGTTGTGCAAGCAGTCTGTACCCATGTGTTAGACCTGTCCGGTGTCTAGGCCAAAGTTGAGTGACGCGCCATGTCAGAAGACGGAATTGAACTAAGTACGATTGTTTACTCACGTCCAATGAATGCGGCACTACAGGTAAGTAACGGTTACAACACAACCACATATACAAAAATACAATTCGTGGCGTTCTCACAGGGAGTTCACCGAACAGTCAATCGATCAGGGCTGATACAGGTAGCAGCTGCTAGGGCAAAACGAGCGGTCAAAACCTTCGGTCGGCGAACAAAGTAAAACGGACGGGACGAAGGACAAACACCAAGTGATAAGGATAAACACAAGACCGACTGATACGAGGACTGTCCAATCACAGTCGGGGCTGGGGAATTCGGGTCCACGATAAGCAAGGAATGAATAAATGAAGTACAACCTGGAACTTTGTCACAAAGGTCAAGTCAGAGTTAAACGGGACGGAACGTGTGCTGGAGAAAGTGCGTGTGTGTGCATGTGGAGAGCCAATCGGAAGGTCACATGATCGAAAATGAATTGGCAGTGGGTGCCGACATAGGAGGGGTGGGATGCCAGTTGGACAAGGCATCGAGTAAAGTGGTCAGTACGTAGGCATTTAGAATAAGCTCACGTGAAGAAAAGCTACTGTAAATCAAAGTCTAAACGATAAATGCGGCCAATAAGCGATCACGTGCAACACAGACTGGGAACATTGGGAGGTACGGGTAAAACAGATGCAATACCATGTATGCAGCTATATATCGCAATGATGTTTTTCCAAAGGCGAACTAAACGGTGTTCCAGAAAGGGCACATGTCATATTCTATGTTTAAATAGGAAGTTGAATTTTCAACTATGAGTAAACGGCTTCACTCATAAACAGCCTCTTCCAAAATAAAATTCCTCATTTGCCTCAGTCAAACACCTTGGTTGAGTATTAGAGCATCTTTCTGGGTAATGGGTGTTTAATCATGTTTTCCATAGGGATTGTCCTTCAAATTATAGTTTGTTCAGAGATCAAATATTCCTGGCTCGATCAAACAAAGTTCTCACGATCCCGCATTTGTCAGCCAAAGGAGAAAAGCTGGAGCGTTATAGGTGCTGACAAATTCGTTTTTTTGGCAAACAGATCAGTGTAATCTACCATCCGGGAGTCTATCCCATACACCCCTGCATGTCTTATTTGTCAGATACATGTATATAAAGAGAGATGGACTGTCAGATTTAACATGTTTCAAAAGAGAATTGACTTTTATTAGCTTGCCTTCGGTATGATTCTATAGTGTTCTATTCGCTTATTTGTCTGATTACTCACTAACTTCACATTTGTCGATACATTCTCTCTCTCTCTCACAATCCCTGGAAACATCAGCCACAATCGCAGGTGCTGAATTCATGGACAGTAGCAATAAATTTCTCAGTACCATTCGAAACGCCCTGGATCAGGAGAGCCAAGAACGGGACACGCTACATCAATGGGTTCGACTATTGCTAAAATTCATGTCCAGTGTGCAATTCGATCTGCGTGTGGAAGAGGGCTCATCTACCGGGACACCGGGACGAAATCCGAATAGCGGATCGAATGCCAAGGATGAATTACGTGATCGGAAAGCTTTGAGCAAAGCACAACGTCATTTAGCTTTTCTGCTAGGCTACGCGGACGGATCATTTAGCATGCCTCCACATCGTATGAGGTGCGTTATCACTAAGTCTATCAAGTGAAGTGAAGTTTTCTTCGAGGTTTTTTCAACTCATTTCATCCATTTGCTTTAAAACTAATTGATTATCCACGATCCTTTGAGTTGGGTAAAATAAAGAGGATTTATCTCGATCCAAATTACAAATTACAAACTCATAAACGTTTAGTCACATTCAGATGGATTATGTTGTGCAATGCAGCAAACGATGTCTATCTATCTGAATAGGCAGCCGGCGCTTGTGGCGATTCAGTTTATTATTTGTGTGCTATAATTCATGCAGACTAAACAAGTGGGTGTTGGAATTGTTCGTTGTCTCATTTATCCCCCTGATCTGCAACTGAGATTAACCCAACTTTCAGCATGAGAGAGAACTGATACATAGGGTGCGTAAGTGAACGTTTACATGCCTGACTGTCTTCCGCCATCACCACCACTACCACCCAGCTTTCACATTTCTGCATATCACTAGACTGCCTTCAGTCGACCACGGTGCCTTCCTAAAAATCATTCATTCCTTGTTGTGCTTGTAGAAGCTGTAGTTTTCAAATGTTATACCTAGAGACCAGGATTTTCGATCCACAGTCAAAGAGTATGGGCTCTAGTCAGCAGATANCAGCAGATAAAGTTGAATTACCGTGCCTTCACCTGTGCTTTGTTTTACAAATTTTCCTTGAAAATGTGTGACGTTTCTTTCTGTAAGGGCAACGTCAATCGCATTTTTAAATTATCCTAAAAACGTGCTCAATCCTGGTCTATTGACTCTTGATTTATACGACAGGAACTCAACAGTGTTCCATGCATTCCTAGCACATGTGGGCGGTGTTTTGGACCGAAATTTCGGGATGGGTTCGTGTATTTTGCACCAGACTTTGGTTGTCCTCCAATTCTGTGCATCCCCGCAACGTTATGCAACCGACTCTCAGCCGCCCACGTTTACTTTGCGTTTACTTGAACCGCAAGCCCGGCTGCATTGGCTCCAGACTTTGTTGGTTATCTTGTACAAGGTGAGTGAATTTCGATAGACACTTGTCCTCCACTAGGATCCGATTCTCGTTTGTGAATCATTGTTGTCATAATCGCATAATGAGTACCGTGTCACAGATGAAGCGAATCTTTAAAAACAAAAAAAATACCCCCAGGTTGTTTTACAATTTCCTAGGCTTCTCGCTGTAAACGATCCATTTCTAAGCGATCAGAGTGCTCTGTTATTGGTACATATCTCGTTTACGGTGACGTCATGGACATCGGCTCACTGTGTTGAACACAGCGCTGCACAATCCAGATCGAGTGCATTTCTTTTCACATGTCTGTTCCACACTCCGACACCCCAATGAGGGTGGAGGTGTCGAAAAACCCCGCGGTTGAATAACATCCCCCGAAACAAATGCCTTTCTCATGGCCAGAGAGTATGGTAGTTATTGATTTGTTGTTTCCTATGATTGAAGATAAGTTGTAAGGCATTATGCTTAGATTTCTTTTGGTCTTTATAAAATAAACTGATTCACGGTGTTTCTGGAAGTTTTTTATTGCCATGGTCTTCAGTTTTGTTCGCCAGTATGCATCCTCTGAGGTCCTGGTCAGTAAGGATATTGTATATAACTTATACAATGCGATTGCTACATCGTTTTCGATCGTCTCGTCCCTCTCACCTGTGACTTTAAGCAAGTAAATTCCCTCTGACCCCAAATGCGATCTGATTGGATCATATTCTACGATCTGTGGTGCTTAAAATCTCTCACCCCAACACGAGACTGTCTGATTACCAGTAGACTTGTACGTTCTGTAATGCTCTTGTTGTCACGTCCAGTCCATCCGTATGCTAACGGCACTCCTGCTACACAGTCGTGCGATTTCCGGGTCGGCACAGGAGGAGAATAGGTTCCGAATCCGATGCTGCTTAATTGTTGGTAGAGAATCACCCCCAAGAGAATCGGTTGTGGAGCGGTGCACATCTAATTGAATACCGTAAGGGAAAATGAAACAACCAGCCAATATTGCTATTGGGTTAGTGGTACTCGTATTGCGGGTTTCAAAAAATGAGGCTAAATCAACTAATGTTGCATATCATCTGTGATCACTTTGGTCATCTAGAAATAAGAACATCAAGTAAACAGTGGAGGTGATAATAACGGTGGAGTTTATAATACGAATACTGTGTACAGACCAAATCATAACATAAACACACTCCAATAGTTTATCTGGGTAGCATCGAAAAAAATTGGTTTCTACTTATCCGCAAATAAATGGACAGACTTGTTCAAGCAAATACATACGGTCAGACCGTTTTTGGTCCCCTACACTTAAACGATTGCGTCGGAAGAAAGAACAAGCTTTCGAGGCGAAAAAGTTTTCTTTGGTGAAAGACCACTCAAAAGTAATCAAGGCTGAACTGCGGAGAGTAAACGCCGCTTATGTACATGCACTACTGGCAAACAGAAATTGTCGGGATACATGGAAAATGGTGTTTGAGTTCTGCAGTCTCAAAACGAAGGGGAATCTTCCAGCTGCCAATGTGGACGATATCAATCGCCAATTCAGCAATACTGAAACCGACAACCCTATTCCATTCACAGCGGTTGCCCGCGCTACTAATATTGTGAATTTAAGTACCGATCAAACTGAATTATTCAAATCCCTCATCAACCTGAAGTCTAATAAAGCATGCGGTCCTGATGGACTGCCACCTGTTGTGTTCAAAGATTGTGCAGCCTCCCTGTTCCCTGTTTTCACCAACCTACTCAACCTGGGTTTTACTAAACATTGCATTCCGGACTGCTGGAGAGCGGCTTCTATCACACCAGTACCCAGAAAGGGACCTTGCAAATTTCGTCCGATTGCTTGCATTTCTGTGGGTTTGNGCTGCCCCAGCTGAATGCACCTGATCCCAATAAATTTGCCTACTGCAGTTCCAGGTCAACCATTGATGCGTTGGCATCCCTCATTCATTATATCTCTTGCTCCTTGGACAGGAAATGTAAAGCTGTTAAGCTACGTTTCTTTGATTATAGTGATGCCTTTAATTGTGTTGATAGGTCCAAACTTCTTCACACTCTTTTTGAGAAAGGCATTCAGCTGGAGCTTATCAATCTGTTAAGTAATTATTTCACCAATCGACCACAGTTTACCAAATATAAGAGTCGTAACTCTTCACTTTTACCCTCCACTTAAGGAGCTCTTCAAGGCGCTATTCTCTCTCCCTTCCTGTTCACAACTTATATTTCTTCAATGCCTGCTCTTGATGATTGTCTGCTCATTAAGTGTGCCGATGATGTTGTGCATGGCATGATGTTTTCGAACTCCTCCGTGTACCCCAAACTTATGCAGAATATTTCACTGCTCACCGACTGGTCTGCACAACACAATCTTACAATGAATCCTTCCAAGTGTAATGATGTTTTATTTTCTTTACTGAAGGGTGATCAATATATTGACGTGATGAACTCTTGTCAGCATGTTATTATCAGTGGTGAAGAAGAGCATGCTTCGTCAAATATCTTGGGGTCACCATTTCCCGCAATCTTTCTTGGTCTCCTCATGTCATTAAGACATTTCACAAAGTCAGAAAACTCACCTTTTACATTATTCGTTTCTGAAGATGTTATCTACCCCAACTCACTTAATAAAGCGTTTTGTTTTATCCTGTATCCTCCCCCACTGGCTTTATGCATCCCCTGTTATTTTTCCGGGTCTTTTAAGCAAAGACTTCAAACTCATACGCACATCCATCAAACACGTATGTCGATACAGCGGCATATCCCTTGAGTATGTTGTGCAGTTTATTATTTCACAGCACCTTAGGGCATGCCAGAAACTTTCTACCAGAATACCACCTGATCCATCTCACCCACTGTACCCGCACCTTAGTCAATGTATCTCCACATCTAGCACTCGTTCCATGTATAAACATATAGCAGCACGCACCACTACATACAAGTCTTCTATAATACCGCACCTGGCACGGTTTCTTACCAACGCTGATCTTGTCATTGGGACTCTTAGATAAACTCTTTGCTAAACTGGCTTTTTGTATATGTAACGTATCATCATTCGTTTTGTAACCATGTAATTTCCAAAGAAGAGTGATTGTGTAGTGGCTGAATGTTCATCCCCTATAGGGAGAATGAAAGCCTCTTCTTGACTTGACTTGACTTGACTTGAAATCATTCGGATTTCTCTCCTCATTTTCAAGTGTGACTGTCGGCTGTCTTTCAGCGCCAAAACTGGGGGGTAAAATTCAAGAGAAACTCAGCCTCTATGACTATTACTCTATGGATGGTCTGGGCAACACAATTCCATGCACGATTCACATCAGTATTTAGGCCAGGTGACCCGCTTGTTGATTCATCCCAATGTCGCTCTTTTTCTGCCCGACCGATCGAGGTCGATTACAACCAATATAGTTCGTTCATTCTCAAACAATGACCAAGTACATGACGTTCCGGGAGAGAGGGGGGGGGAGGCGAACAGTCAGACCCCACCCCACCGAAACCTCTGTCATCATTCAATAGCTCAGTCACTTTGTTTATGGAGAAATCAGGACATTGTACGCGGGCAGGCCTCTTTGATAACCCCGGTCCAATAGTTGACGGCCAAAGTACCAATCGCTTCATGTGGTTCCCACCAGTCGTGGATTCAATCAGAGTTACAACGGGCTCACTTGAGATTGAAAAGCTATATGCATGCGTTTGTGTGGGCCAGCGAGCACACGCACGCAGCAGATTAAATGGTAGGGGGTCTGTGACCTTGATAACAAGGGGTTCATGTGTGTCGGGCGGGATCTAAACCCAGAATCAAACATGACGGGAGAAGACTGAGAGATTCAAGCGAACATCCCTGTTTAAATTACACAGATGAACCGTGATTCTACCGAACAAAATCAAGACAACGCTATGAGAAATATGAACATAATTTAGAAAACGGTGTTCGCGAAGAAATTTCTTTTCGATCTATCGCAGAGCTCGGTATCCGATTCCCTGTGGATTTCAAAGTAGCTGACAAAGTAAGTCGGTTCCAGTTGCTAAGGTGGACTGAATTCAGGTTCGCCTGTACGCTGAGCGTGGTAATGGTCGAGGAGACATCTTCAGTGCTTATGGAGTGATAGTGTTCTGCGTATACCCGTCCTCAAATTTTTCTCACTGATTCGAAGTCCAATGGATGGCCTTCTTGATCTTCGTGGAGGAAAATCAGTGAGAGTGAGTCACGTGCCCGACTAGCAACCAATGTTCATGAATCATTGTTGATAGATTTCTTCCAGTTTGTCCGAGACAGTGTTCTATGGCGTTCAAAGCTCCCAAAGAATCAACAGTGAGCTTGAAAGTGGTTCAATGGTGTTACGGAGCGGATAATCAGTCATGTGTTTTCTTCAATTTTTTATATGGATTAATGTATGTGACGACATGTTAGGTAACAAAGTTCAAATGGTTGGTATTTCAATTGCAGTGTCGATAGTGATGAAACAGAATTTCTTAACCGAAAATAACAGTCTGATTCCACCTATGATTTCCTATAATTTCATCCCCTTTGTTCTCAGTACGAATACAGTGCTCCAGGTGGGACTGTTCACTCCGGTTTGGGCGGTTCAAGTATAGTTGGCAATGTGGGAGGTGGTGTTGGGGGNNNNTTCTGGGAGCAGTGGCGGCGGCGTTGGTGTCGGAGGTACCGGGGCTGTTGGTAGTGGATCAATTGGTGCAACCAGCAGTGCCATGACCTCCACACCACACTCGATGGGTGTGCTCGGCTCTGGAGGACTCGGATCAAGTGGTCCCGGTAGTAGAATTCGGAAAAGCAGTTCCGAAGCTCAGCTGTTGGATACGGATGACGGAGTTAGAAGAATCACACCACCTGGTGGTGGAGGTCCATCCAGTTCCAGTGGCCTTTCTCCCAACGTATCCTGTCCATCACCTGCAGCCGGTGGAGGTGGTACCGGTGGACTAACCAATCCCCTATTCGGTACACCGCATCATTACTTGTCCGGAGGTACGACTACCACGGGTACGACTAATTTACCTGCGGGGGGTACACGAGGTCTGGTGGAATATCTTATCCAAATCGTACTGAATACGATGGATGCACAAGTGCACGTATGTCGTGAGCGCAGCGATGATGAACCGTTTGAGACTCCCACACCTCCGATGAGACTGCGAGGTAAGCGATTACTCAGGTCAGCATTTCATCCCCACTCGCCGTGCATGGTGGTCTACGACAGTGCGAAACTTATCATGAAAAAAACCACAACGTCGGATAAAACTGTTTGAATTAGTCTTTACGGGAATGAAATGGATATTCGCACACTTCCAAAACCCAACGTAAACGTTTGTTTGGACACATAAACGAAGGATGAGTGAAAATCTTTTATTGGTGGAAAAAGCAGTTAACTGTTTTTGAAATACCATTTTTGCTTCTTGGCATTTCAAACTATGAAATAAGCATCTACCGCCAACAATTTGTCGAACAAAGTGATAAGAGTTCTATCGTTGTCATCCAATTAAATAGATAGAAAGCAGGTGGCTGGAGTTGCGTTAGTCATGGCAAAATGTAATATTAAGTAGCGAAGTTCTTGCACAAAAAAGCATCTGTTGTGTACATTTCAGTCAACCAGAACGCAAGCGGTGAATTGGCAGGCAGGCAGGCAGGCAGGCAGGCAGGCAGGCAGGCAGGCAGGCAGGCAGGTAGGCAGGCAACTGGTTGCATCGTAATTCGTGTTCATTAACAAAAGCAATTCATCATCCTGTACTGGCCGTACCAGTCGTTAACAGTCAGATCGTCAATTAGAAGCAGACACGTGGTGCAATCTGATTGGTCAATGTGATCAAGGTCACATGTGACGGACACCCGTGTCATGTGTGTGTGCATCGGACATTGATGTTGCGCGTTCAGTGGAAGCAATGTATACAATAGTTAGCCAACAAATACATTAGGCCACACAAGATGATCGGTTCAAACAAACTTATACCGTGGTACACACAGGCAGTGTGATTACTTTATTGTTTCACTTCGTTTTCCCCCAGATCATGTTTGTGATCTGATTGGATAGTTCTCCGCGATTTTGGTAACTTCTCATCTATCAAACTGACACGAAACTCTCTGGTCACCGGGTATCTAATGTTTGTGATGCTCTTGTTGTCACCAGTTTTCCTACTGTGTGATGCAGCGTCCCAGATGTGCACACTAAAAGTCCGATGGTCATGCCGAGGAGTAAAGGCGGTCTACAATGTGATTGCTCCATCGTTTCACATTCTCTTGTCCCTCTCATCCGTGACTTCGAACAAGTAAATTCCCTCTGACCCTATCTGCGATCTGATTGGATCACCTTCCGTGATTTGCGGCACTTGGAATCCCTCATCCCAACAAAAGACTATCTGATTACCCGGTTATACTTTCTGTGATGCTCCTGTTGTCGCGTCCAGTCCATCCGTGTGCTGATGGCACTCCAGCTGCACAGTCCAAGTTCACTGGCCTGCCTAAGACTCACTTCTGTGAAGAAGGTGTGCTTTCTCGCTCGGGTTAGCTAGACAAGCACCAGGTCCCTTGTTACGGCTAAACTATCCTTAGAAGGTACCGCTTCTCGTTTCCTGCCCGGAACAGGTCTCCCCTACCTGTGTTTCATTCAATGTATTGATGACCACGCGTGTGCGCGGATCACAAGACGAATGAGTGTGTTTGTGTGTGCGGGCACGGGAACTGAGCTCAAACGTCACATAAAATCATGGAAATGATCTTGAGGCCTTTGATAAGACTATGATGGTGTTGGAGAGGCGCTGACGTGGGGATTCGTTTTTGAAATAAGGGGTACATAACGTGCAAAACACATTTAGCACAACAAAACGTACGTCCATGTTTCGCGCTTTGGCTCGGGGGCAACAACATCGAGTCGATAATATCAATGATAAACGCGTGGTTATTCCTGGAGCAAGAACGGAATGATGGATAAACGAAGCACGAACGAGCGAGCAGGCGGTGGACCGTGAGACCATGTATGTGTGTGTATGTGCTTGTGTAGAAAGGTAAATACATGATGTCACGGAAATCGAGGAGATGATTGATCATTAAAAGTCATGTTTGATTCTTTGCCTGCGGGTGCAGATGCAGGCCACCACAATACGATTTCGGCACTGCATTGCAATGTCATTGTGTTTGGATATGAAAGTTTTGCGATTCAAATGTCAAACTGTCCAATCAATTAATTACCAACTACCAATTATCAATTACCAAAATAAATTGTATTTGTAAGTTATTTACCCATATCAGTGTCTAATTAATTATGCATATTGATATCCACCCTCTTTTTCCACAAATTTAGTTTCTGTTCATCGAAATTACTAACCTCCGACAACATTTAATTCCATACAATCGATGAAAATATGGACTCATTCAGTTATACTAACAAGAATTTCTGTCGACAAATCACAACTGCATCTGTACATTACGTTCTCCTCCAGGATATTCAACCCAACCGAATGGTATGACATAATCACCTCACAATTTACCACCGCGTAGCTTCCCGATCGCATTCAGGCAAATGCCGCCACCACCACCACCACCACCACAACTCCTTAGCATGTATTGCCGAAATCTAATGCATCACGATTAACTCCCACTACCTATCATTCTTCCTACCAGATTGGATTTATTTTTTTTAATTACTACTAGCAACTAGCTCCCGATTGCATGCCTCATTTAGTCACACTACGAGACTCCGGGACTGTACGAATGGAGTGGATCACTATTCTGTTGGATCGCATGTGTGTATGTGTGTATTTCACATAAAACATGAGTTAAATTTCTTAATTTTATTG